TAGCTGGTCTGGAGTTATTTTTCTTCTCTCAAGACGGGCTTTTTCTTTGTAGCCCTGGATATCCTAGAACTCACTTTGTAGCAGGCTGGTCTCGAACTCAGAGATCCACCTGCCTCTGCCTCCCCAAATGCCAGGTGGAAGTCACCACTTGCCTCCAAGCAGATATAGCTGTTGCCAGAGAAAAATGTCTTATTAGTGAACCGAGGATAAATACAGTTGGGGAAAAATGAGGGGTAAAGTACAGAGATGGAGTCAGGACATTGACTAAAAACTTAACAGAACTAGACATCTACAGAGGGCTTTGGACCTCTAAATCCAGAAACCCTGCACGTGTGGACAATCCAAGCCCCTGTCCACAGCCCTTTCAAATGTCTCCAGGTACACGTTCAGCTGGACTTCCTCCCTACTGCTGCTGTCCTCAGCCACCCTGGCCCAGCAGTATGCTGGTCACTGGTGACACTGCCAGCTGAACCCCTTGAGGACAAGGTAAGGGTGTCAGTGTGGACTTTGAGCAACATAACAATTTTCTAGAGTTCAGGCCTCATTAGGTCTGTTGTTTGGCTTCGAACTGTTTGCAAGATCTAGTCTGATGTCACAGACATGGTGCATTAATCTGTCTTCTGCTGAGTAACAGGGTGCCCAGGACCAGACCATTTGTGAAGAATGGAAGCTTTTTGGCCCACAGCTCTGAGGGCCAGAAGTTCTAGAAGCATGGCGGGTCAGCAGCATCTGGTGAGAGCCCCTTGCAGAGTCTACATGGCAAAGGGGGCAGTACAAGCTTTCTAGTGCAAATCCATCCTCTCTTTGGTTTTTAAAGATAGGGTCTCTCTATGTAACCCTGGCCATCTTGGGACTTGTTGTAGAGACAGGCTGTCAGGCTTGGCAGCAGGTGCCTTTTCCCCAAGCCAGATTCCGGCTATAGTCATGAACTTTTGATCCTCCTCCTGTGGCCTCGTGATTAAAGGTGCACATCATCCCCACGTTGGCTTCTATCTCCATGTTAGGCCAATTCTGCACTAAACAGCCTGAGTCAGCCCACCGTATTCTCACCTCAGAGGACAGAGTGAAGGGGCACTGGCCAGGGCTCCTGCTGGCAAAAAGACCAGGAGGGGAGGGTTCCCTTTGTACTCACCAGACAGCCTCTGATGACTGAAACATACAGCCATTCAAAACAAAAAGTGATTGAACTTTTGTTTTGTTTTTTCAAGACAGGGTTTCTCTGTTGCTTTAGAGGCTGTCCTGGAACTAGCTCTTGTAGACCAGGTTGGTCTCGAACTCGCAGAGATCTGCCTCCCGAGTGCTGGGATTAAAGGTGTGCTCCACAACGCCTGGCTGTGATGGAACTTTTTTTTTTTTTTCCGAGACAGGGTTTCTTTGTGGCTTTGGAGGCTGTCCTGGAACTCGCTTGGTAGTCCAGGCTGGTCTCGAACTCACAGAGATCCGCCTGCCTCTGCCTCCCGAGTGCTAAGATTAAAGGCGTGTGCCACCAACGCCCGGCTGTGATGGAACTTTTATAAGTATGTATTTGCAGAAAGAAACATTGGAAAGTTAAAAAAGAAATTTAGTTTATTATGAGAAGAATGGGGCCGGGGAGAAGGGTCAGGGACAGAAATGATGCTGCTGAAATGTGACTTATGGGGTCTGGAGAGGGGGCTAACCTTGGCTGTCTACTCGACTACATCTGGGATCAACTGAAAGGCAAGCAGCTGGGCACAACAGGGAGAGATTTTATTGGCTGCCTCCTTTGAGTGGCAAGACCCACCTGAACTCTGGGCCACATCTTCTGGTGGCTTTTTGTCTGCTTGCCCTTACTTGTGCTGACAAGTTCATCTACCCTGTGGCTGTGAGGCCTCCCTGCTTAGTGTTAGAACCCACTTCTCCCAGATTCCAAGGCAGACTGGAGACCACAGATCTGTAGAAACCCTTCAGGATTCCAGCATCAGATTGGAACCGCTGAGATACACACGGACTGAGGCTTCTATACAAAAATTAAAAGCAGGGTAGACCAGATGGCTCAGCAGGTTAAGGCACTTACAGCTAAACCAGACAACCTCAGTCCAGTCTCTTTCTATAACATAGCAGAAGGAGAGAGCCAGATCACAAGTTGTCTTCTAACCTCTACATGTGCACCATGGTGTGTGAGTGCCCCCCCCATAGATAGATAGACAGACAGACACAGACAGACAGACAGACAGACAGACAGACAGACAGACAGACAGACTAACGTGATTAGAAGAAGCCAGGCACAGCGAGGCATACCTGTAATCCCAGCACTCAGGAGGCCACAGGAGGAGGATCAAAAGTTCAAGACTATAGCTAGTGATCTGGCTTGGGGTAAAGGTACCTTGCTGCCAAGCTTGACAACCTGAGTTCCATTTCTGGGACTCACAAGGTGGAAGGAGAGAGCAAATGTACAAACTGTTCTCTGACCTACACATACATGCCATTGTGTGCAGCTACACATAAGCAATATAAATAAATGAATGTAATAATAAAAAATTAGGGCGATGGTGGTGCACACCTTTAATTCCTATACTTGGGAGGCAAAGGAAGGTGGATCTCTGAGTTTGAGACCAACTTGGTCTACAAATAGAGTTCCAGGACAGTCAGAGATGTCTTTAAAAACCAAAGTAAAAAAGTTTTTTTTTTAACGTGTATGTGTGATTTTCCTGCATGTGCACCATGTGTGTTTCTGGTGCCTGCAAGGGACCAGGAGAGAGAGTTGGATCACCAAGAAGGGTAATTAGGGGCTAGGTGTTGGTGGCACACACCTTTAATCCCAGCACTCAGGAGGCAGAGGCAAGCAGATCTCTGTGAGTTCGAGACCAGCCTGGTCTACCGAGCGAGTTCCAAGACAGGCTCCAAAACAATACAGAGAAACCCTGTCTCGAAAACCCAAAAAAAAAGGGTAATTAGGATGGTTATGAGCTACTATATAGGTGTTGAGAACCAAACCTGGGTCTTCTTGCAAGAACAAGAAGTGCTTTAACTGTTGAGCCAACTCTCTAGCCCCCATTTAAAAACAAACAAACAAAAAGCCAGGCAGTGGTGGCGCATGCTTTTAATCCCAGCACTCAGGAGGCAGAGGCAGGTGGATCTCTGAATTCAAGGTCAGCCTGGTCTACAAAGCAAGTTCCAGGACAGCCAGGACTACACAGAGAAACCCTGTCTTGAAAAACAGACAAACAGAAAAAATGGGTTTGAGAGATAGCTCAGTAGTTAAGAGCACTGGCTGCTCTTCCAGAGGTACTGGGTTCAGTTCTCAGCACCCACACTGGGCAGCTCACAACTGTAACTCCAGCTCCAGGGGATCTGATGCCTCTGGCCTGCTTCGGCAGTTGCAGTCACATGAATATACCCACAAACAGACATACACATACCTACAAACAATTAAAAATAATAAAAATGAATATTAAAAAAGGGGGGACTGGGCTGGAGGGATGGCTCAGCGGTTAAGAGCACTGGCTGCCTGTCTCAAGAAACCAAAAAAAAAAAAAAAAAAAAAAAAAAGAGCACTGGCTGCTCTTCCGGAGGTCCTGAGTTCAATTCCCAGCATCCACATGGTACCTCACAACCATCTGCATTGAAGTCTGGTGCCCTCTTCTGGCCTGAAGGGATACATGTAGGCAGAATACTGTATACATCTCTAAAGGGGGGGGCAACTGTAAGGTGAGGGGAAGAGAGAGGATCTATGGAACTGTGAAGGAATTGAAGTGGGGTAAAGTGCTTGCCCAGCATGCACGAAGCCCTCAGCTCCATCCCTGGTCCTGGAAGAAAAACAAAAAAGGAAGCCGGCCAACCCTGGTGGTACTAGCCTAATCCTATCTGCTTGAGAGGCTGAGACAGAGATCACAAGTTCAGTGCCTGCCCCGGTTACAGAGTGAGTTGGGGAGGGTCACTCGGGAGGAGGAGAAGGCAGTTAAAGACTTAGGGCAAGAGGAGGCAGCAGAGGCACCGGCACATTTCCGACTCTGTGAAATGTGACTGGAGAGCAGCCAAGGGTCTTTGTAGAGATTAGCCAGGACAGAAACCAAGAAGCAGGCCTGAAGGGGAGTTACTGTGTTCAGTTTTGGAGCTGAGCCCCAGAGTCACTTTCTGGCTTGATGAAGACTCCACAACCTGACATCTCTGCCTAATCTGACACCTGTGGCATCCCTTCTGGGAAGATGAGCACACTCAAGTCCTTGACTTCACCCATATTCACTGTCCTGGGGGTCACCTGTGGGAAAAGGAAGGGACTGTGGTAGGTGGCCAACTGCCACCAAAACCTCTGTGGTGGACAAAGAAGCAGGGTAGTCGTCACTCAGGACAAGCCTGAGTCAAGTTGGCAGAGCTGTCCCCTCTCATAGTGCCCATCCTGTCAACCATCCTAGAGACCTACCTACCTTCTCCCCTTTCTGGGACACCAAAGAGATTTGGAGATCAGGCTTCAAATTCCACAGATAGTGTAAAGCCCCAATTATGCACCCTGCGTGTACATATACATGTCTTACAGGGCTCATGTGCATGGCACATACACATTCAAACATGCCCAACCCCTTGGGGTTTGCAAGCTCCCATGTGAATGCATGGTGCCACCACAGTATCTTTTGTGCAGAACTGCCTGGAGTGCTGGTCTCATCTGTCATCCTTTTTCTTCAGCCGCCTCTGAACCCAGCCCAGGCTGATTTCCACGGTGTGCCCTGTTCTCCACCGACCCTGGGCTTCCAGGCCTCCCCCACCCCTCTGCTCCTTGTATGTGCCTGTGCTCACTTGCTGTAGGCGTGGAGCTCTGTTCACCATTCTCATCTGGCAGCCCCGGTTATGGCTCCCAGACTGGGGGAGAACTTCCCTTTGCAAAGTTAGATAACAGGCCAGGTTCTCTGTCAGAGGATTGGCGCGGTGGCTCCACGTGCTGCAGCTGGCGCAGGGCCAGGTCCGCCCTGCCAAGCAGCGGGAAGGGAAGGCCTGGCTGCAGCCGGAGCTGGCAGGTGGCCGAACTGGGGGTGGACAGGCGGGCTGGGGCTAGGGCTGCCCATTGGCTGCCTCAGGCTCACACCCCGCCTGCCTCCATAGCCTGTGGCTCCCTAGCCAGCCCCTGCCTCTCCAGCTGCTTCTAAACTCCCGAGCAAGCACCTCCTGCTGGGCCATGTCGAGCTGCAACCAGATTGGAGTGGCCCCTGCCATGGACATGCCTGAGGTCCTCAAGTCCCTGCTGGAACACTCTTTGCCTTGGCCAGAGAAGAGGACAGGTAGGAACACAGGTGGTCTATACTAGGAAGACACAAGTCCCGAGGGTTGGAAGCAGGCTCGGGTGAGGAAGGGCTGCAGTGCAGAGAAGGACCCCAGGAGGTGTGCGTGCGCCACGTCGGTTCTGGGGCTGCCCCCATACCTACTGGCTTTGGGCGCTGTGGACAGTGTGCAGCTACTGACAGGTGCTGTGCTCACTTGGGACAAGACAAGAATGCCTGAAGGAATCCAACTGGAAACATTGCTTCTAAAGCTCCCTCCCTCTGCATGCTGGGGGCGAGCAGAGTGGCAGAGCCAGTAGATTTGGGCAGCAGCGGTATCTGGAGAAGGCTTTCTGTGCCTGCCACTTGCTCAGCGCTGTGGGGCTGAACTCATGGAGCTGGGATGGAAGCTGGTTATGTAACGGGACCACAAGCCCCGCGTTCCTAGGATACCACAGGCAACCCCAGGCTAGGGACAAGCAGAAGAGAGTGGCAGAGGGTGTGGAGAGGGGCAGCTTGGGCAGCCAGTACCAAGTGTCTTACAAGTCTTTCCTGGGAAAGTTAAGAGCTCAAGCTGTTTAGCTTTGGGGAGTCGGGAAACCAACTTGGGGTACTCTCTTCTGACATTTTTGTCACCAAATCTCTCAGACTCACTCCAGGTTTTTACTACCATTACCAAAAAAAAATTTCCCACGGTGCTAGGGATTGAACCTAGGCCTTTTGAAGCTAAGCACAAGCTTTGCTACAGAGCCATCAGTCCTCCACAATGCTTTTAGAGTAGACTACCCTGTCTCTGCTGCCAGGGGGACAGGAGGTCAGGGTGCTCCCCTGGGACCCTTTCAAGGCATCTGCCTCATTCTGGGCTGGCATCTGATATGTCACCAACCTGGTGTCCTTGCAGGACCTCTTCCTGGAGGGCTCTCCAAACTTGGGAGCCGGAGAACAGCCCCGGTTCTTTTGACCCTTGGGCCAGTATGGGCTCAAGTTTGTTAATTAGGCGTAGGCAGGACAGAGGCTTTGACCCTGGGAAATGCTATCTGTGGTAGAGGGTTTCTCCAGAGCTCATGGTAAGGGCCTCAGAGGGCTGTTAAGGATCTTTGGACCCAGGCCCTTCACACCACAGCCTGTGGTTGTGCTCGCTGCGCTCATGCTCTGTCCCTCCACCCCTCCCTCTCTTTCTCCGTTTCTTTCTTTTTGGTTTTTCAAGCCAGGGTTTCTTTGTGCAGCCTTGGCTGTCCTGGAATTCCATCTGTAGGTCAGGTTGTCCTCAAACTCACAGAGACCTGCCTGCCTCTGCCTCCCAAGTGCTGAGATTAAAGGTGTGTGCCATCACTGCCCAGGCAGCCTGCGGTTTCTAATGCTGAGGCATGTAAATATCCTCCCAGACAGGCATCAGAGAAGGTGTCACTGCATCCAACTCACAAAGAACACCAGTTGCTGACCAGGAGAAGCCCATACCCTTACATACCCCTGGGAGAGCCCCCTGACAGATGAGCCTCAGCTCAGGTCCATATCTACAAACAGGCCACCAACAGCTTTCTGCCAGTTCTGGGTGGCCTGTGTGGGTGGGCCCAGCTGGAAGGCGTTCTGAAATGTAAGCGGAGTCTTTCCATTCCTGCAGGTACTAGGGAAGATGATGCAGCACCCTCATGACCCCACCCAGCTGTCCCAAGATGCCTGTGGCATTGCAGACAGGGTCAACTCACAGATGGGCGGGGAAACATTCTCGGGGTTAACTCAGGGTACTGCTCTTTGCACGAGACTAACACTGCCTCTGAAGTGTGGTAGCAACTGCTGGTCACTGGCTCCCAGCTGTTACACAGAGTCCTGGGAAAGCTGAAAATTCCCCACCCCTAGTGAGCAGTCAGGGCCAAACTTGGGGAAACTTGCCCAAGGTTTGAGGCAGAACTTTGCCAAGGTCTGATAAGATCTGCCTGAGGACTAGTTAGCCCCGTGTTGCTGGGTCTTAGATCTGAGTCTTAGATCACCTCCTATTACTTCATGTGGCACTTCATTGAAAATCCTAAGGGCATCCCACAGGACAGACAGCAGTTTGTGGCTGACTGGGGAAAAAAATGAAGGAGAAAGTGGTGGAGAAGCCAAACACGTCACAAAGCCCCCCCCCACATTACCTATAGTCACCTCTCCCCAAGGCTCCCAGACCTCCTAAACCACTTCCATGTCTGCCCGAACAAGTGCACACCCACCACATAAACCAGAGGCTCAGGAGTCTTAGGACAAGAACTTCACAGTTCCTGTTGTAGTTGATTCTCCCCATTTCCCTCCACTCTGCCTTGGCTTCTGTGGGGGTCGGCAGAGTGGGTAGCTTGCCTTCACCTCCATGAAAGATGTGGGTTTCTCCTAGAAGACCCTGCACGCCTCCCTCTCCCTTTTCTTCCTCTAGCTCAGACACTGCAGCATAGCCAAGTATTATACAGGGTGTAGTTAAGTTCCAGTGGGAAGGAATTTCAGATGAGAGCAATGCAGAATGAGAAATTCCAGGTGTGCCCTCGAGAATGCTCTCCCTGCAGCTGCATGCTCTATTTTCTAGTTCAAAGACACTTCCCAAGATCCACATGGAGCCCCACTGGCAGCTCCAGGGCCTGTTACAGCCTATACAAATGCCTGCCTCTTCCAGGTCCCCAAGAAGGTAGGCTTTCCTGATCAGTACTGACCAGACTTGAGACTCCCTTGGTTGCCTGGTGGTCCTTGCTCTGAGCCCAATTCAACCAGCTTCCCATAACTGAGAAATCCATGAGCAAAAGGACTGATTATTCTCCAAGCTCTGACTCAGTTTCTCACCTCTGGTCCTATGTATAAAAACTCTTCTCCTGCAGGGTTCACGCCATCTCCTGCTTCTTTCTTCTTCGGGCTCTTGTGGGATCTTGAGTCTTGTCTGCTTAGCTTTTGACTACCTACTTCCCCTCACCCACAGGGCCCAGGCTGTGCTCAGTGGCACCCTTATCCATGTCTTCTCCACTTATCCAGGCTTCCATTTACAGGAGCTGACACAGCTTCAAGTCAAACTAGGTCTTCACTTTGAGCTGGGCAGGAAGGGACACTTCTAGACAAGGAAGCAAGAGGAAAAGCCTTAAAATCAGAGTCAGGATGTGATCCTTGGCACTGCTGCCCAGTAAGAGCCTCGCCTTAAAAAAGGATAGGGTATACCTAGGCCACAGGCTCGTTGCCAGGACTAAATGCGCTGTCCCACATGGAAGTGTTTCAAACTGTGACGTGCAACATTGTTTTCTCTGAAAGGCTAGGAGCAGCGTGGCTGGCTTGGTGTTTGCTCTTTCTACCTATAACCTGACCCTTAGTCCCTTCCTTCCTACACTGGCACTCTGGCCCTCACTTCCTTTAAAGACGTGGATGGTATGAGGTTGTGCACACACAGAGCTGTCTCCTTGGAAGTGCATGGTGAGACTCCTGAGGCATGATAGCATCAACCCTACAGGACAGGACAATAGGCAGAACCTTAGGGTACAACAAAGAGGTCAACTGAAGTAAACAGGCTGTGGGTGGATTACATGCAGCCTGGGCTGACCCAAACTTGGTCTTAAGAGGTCTATATGGGAACTCCCACAGCCTGGGAAACCAGGGAAGGCATGGTGTTGGCTCAGGAGGGAGAAAATGACAGAGGACAGTCTATGTGCTGGATATTACTGAGTCATTACTCCGCACTTCAGCCTGCTAAGTGATATGTCTTCCCATTCTTTTTTTTTTAAAAAGATTTATTTATTTATTATGTATACAGTATTTTGCCTGCATGTATGCTTGTAACCAGAAGAGGGCACCAGATCTCATTACAGATGGTTATGAGCCACCATGTGGTTGCTGAGAATTAAACTCAGAACCTCTGGAGGAGCAGCCAGTGTTCTTAACCTCTGAGCCTTCTCTCCAGCCCCCGTTTTCCCATTCTTTTTTTTTTGGTTTTTCAAGACAGGGTTTCTCTGTGGCTTTGGAGGCTGTCCTGGAACTAGCTCTTGTAGACCAGGCTGGCTTCAAACTCACAGAGATCTTCCTGCCTCTGCCTCCCGAGTGCTGGGATTAAAGGCGTGCGCCACCAACGCCCGGCTGTTTTCCCATTCTTTTAGTGAAAAATGAACTCAGAGAGCTTGGCCTCCTCAGGACAAATAGGTGAGTGGCTCTTTCCTTCCTCGTGAGAAGCCCAGGGTCTTGTTCTCCCCATTAGAAACATGAAAAACTCAACTTCATTAAGTGCCAGATACTGATGGCAATGTCAAGAGGAGCCCTTTCCAGGTGGCTGTGCATCTGGCCAGACCCCAAATGAGGCCACTAGAGGAATGATCTGGAGCGTGTGGCACCCGCTCCTACATCAGTGTGTGCAGCAGCATTGAAATGGAGTCTGGTCCTCCACTCTACCAATGAGAACACTGGTGGCTTAGGATGGGAGGGTCACACAGTTGTCAATGAGGCACCCAGCTCCTGTTCCAGGCTCATGCCTCCCCACAGAATTCCCTGGTCTCTGAACTGTGTGGTATTTCTTGGTCATTCAGTTATTCATTATTAACTTAGTGAGCATTTGCTATGCTTTGGCTCGGGAGTGCGTAAGACTGTGTTGTCAACTACAGCTGGCAATAGAGCAGTCATGAGTGCAGCTGACCTTCCCAGGGGTGACACTAAAGCTAAGACCTGGAAAGTGAGGCAGCACTGAGTGAAGAGCCTTCAGGCTGTGGGGAAAGCACCCCAGGGCCCTTCCCTTCGTCTGCAGAACAAAAGGCCACTGGGGCCACAGAAGGTGAGCCACGGGGAGAGAAACACCAGTGATGTTGGAAAGATCCGAAGACGGTCAGGCGGTGATGGCTCAGATACTGTACGAGCTAGTTGTGGTGGGGGGAGGTTTCTCTCCATGGTCAAGGCACTCTTGGAGCAGCTCATCTGGTATCCAAACCCTGGGAGTGTGCAAAACACAAGCCAAATAGGAAACTAGGATTCTTGAGGGTATTGAAGGGAGAGGCAAGAATTTACAAAGAGGCTCCACCCTCCACTTCTACCCTAGA